AAGGTTTCACTATGTTGGCCAGGCTGGTCTTGAACTCCTGATCTCAAGTGATCTGCCTGTGTCAGCCTCCCAAAGTGCTGGGATTACAGGCCTAAGCCACTGTGCCCAGCCTTATCAGGGAAATATCTTAAAATAAACTCTAAATGTCTTTAATAAATATGACATGAAAATTAAAAATTTTGTGGGAAAACACCCATAACAAAAATTTACCATCTTGACCACTTTTTGTTTGTTTGTTTTTGTGATGAAGTTTTGCTGTCATTACCCAGGGCTGGAGTGCAATTGTATGATCTTGATTGACTGCAACCTCCGCCTCCCAGGTTCAAGCAGTTCTCCTGCCCCAGCCTCCCAAGTAGCTGGGATTACAAGCACATGCCTCCACACCCAGCTAATTTTGTATTTTTAATAGAGATGGGGTTTTACTCTGTTGGCCAGATTGTTCTCAAACTCCTGACCTCAGGTGATCCACCCTCCTCGGCCTCCCAAAGTGCTGGGATTGCGGACGTGAGCCACCATGCCCAGCTGACCACTTTTGAGCATACAGTTGAGCATTGAACATTGGCACTGTGGTTCAGCCAATCTTTAGAACTCCTTGCATCTTGCAACACTGAAAACTGTATGAGGTCAACTCCTCATCCCCCTCCACCCAGCCTCTGCTGGCTACGATGTCACTTTCTGTCCGTGTGAATGTTGCTGCTCGAGGCCTCTCCTACATGTGGAATCCTATAGTATTTGTTCTTTTGTGACTAGCCTATTTCATTTAGCGCACTGTCCTGGAGGCAGACCTGTGGTCTAGAGCGTGTTGGAATTTCCGTGCTCCTGAAGGCTGAGGAATGAATACTGCATCTCAAGGACGGCCTCCTCGCACTCCTCCACTCACACTTGGGTGAACCTTCACCTCTGGCAGTTGTGAAAGATTCTGGTATGAACATGAGTGGATGAATATCTCTTTGAGACTCTGCTTTCAATTCTTTTTGGTACATATTCAGAGGTGGGATTGTTGAATCATAGGTTAATTCTATTTTTAATTTTTTGAGGAAATGCCATGCCAGTTTAAAACATTTTTTAGCCATTCTAATATTAGTGGAACTGTATCTTGTTGCTTTAATTTGCATTCTCTTTTTTTTTTTGAGACGGAGTTTCACTCTTGTTACCCAGGCTGGAGTGCAATGGTGCGACCTGGGTGCATGACACACACACGCGCGCGCACACACACACACACATACAGATGGTCCCCGACTTATGATGAGTTGACTTACAATTTTTCTACTTAACAATGTTGTGAACATGATACGATTTCAGTAGAAATCATACTTCAAATGTTGAAAAAATAATTAAGAGATAAGTTCTCATTCTGTAGCCTGGGCTGGAGTGCAATGGCATAATCATAGCTCACTGAACCTTGAACTCTTGGGATCAAGTAATCCTTTTGCCTCAGCCTCTGAGGCAAAGTGCAAATCCCAGCATTTTGGGAGGCTGAGGCGGGTGGATCACGAGGTCAAGAGATCAACACCATCCTGGCCAACATGGTGAAACCCCATCTCTCCTAAAAATTCAAAAATTAGCCGGGCATGGTGGTGTGAGCCTGTAGTCCCAGCTACTCAGAAGGCTGAGGCAGGAGAATCCCTTGAACCCAGGAGGGGGAGATTGCAGTGAGCTGAGATTGAATCACTGCACTCCAGCTTGGTGACAAAGTGAGAATCAGACTCAGGAAAAAAAAAAAGAGATTCTCCTGCTTCAGCCCCCTGAGTAGTTGGGATTACAGGTGCCTGCCACCACACCCAGCTAATTTTTGTATCTTTAGTAGAGATGGAGTTTCCCCATTTTGGCCAGGCTGGTCTCCAACTCCTGACCTCAAGTGATCTGCCCACCTTGGGCTCCCAAGTGCTGTGATTACAGGCATGAGCCACCACATTCGGCCCTTATTATTTATTTATATATTTTTTGAGACGGAGTTTCACTGTTGTTACCCAGACTGGAGTACAATGGCACGATCTTGGCTCACCAAAACCTTCACCTTCTGGGTTCAAGCAATTCTCCTACCTCAGCCTCCCGAGTAGCTGGGACTAAACCACGCCCAGCTAATTTTTGTATTTTTAGTAGAGACAGGGTTTCACCATGTTGACCAGGATGGTCTCGATCTCTTGATCCACCCGTCTCGGCCTCCCAAAGTGCTGGGATTATAGGCATGAGCCACCACGCCCGGCCATTTATTATTATTTTTTTTAACTTAACAACCAGTGTGATAGTATTGGTCTATATCTACGGACTGATTTTTCTCCTAGTTATGGGTAACGTTTTCCTGCTTCAATACATGCCTAGTAATTTTTCACTGAATAACACTGTAATCTTCACATCACTGAGTCTCTGTTTTTTTGTTGTCTCTTTTTAGAATGCTAAAGTTAGTTTTGACAGAAAGTCAATTTTCAGAGCTGGTTGATATTTTTGGGGCTTATTCTGAAGTTTTGTTTAGTAAATTTAAATTACACTTTTATTCCGGGATAGTTTGGATTTTCTACCAAGGTGAGACTCTTCCATAATCTTCCCCATGTGCCCTGAGTGCCTGATGAAGTCTGCTGGGAACACAAACCTCTCTCAGGTTCTGTGCACCCTGTCACTCGCTCCATGTTACAGCTGCCCAGCTGTCACTCTTTGCTGAGTCTCATGGGTTTTCCTTGTACATATGCACAGTTTAAGATTTAGCAAAATCCTTAAGGGGGCCTCTATCTGGATTTCTAGAACTCATCATCTGCATGGCTACCTCCACATAGGCACTCTGCCTTGGGAATTCCAATCATTTCAGCCTCTTCAAACCCCAGTCTCTATGTCTCAGTTCACAAGAATCCTGTGTTCTGTGTTTCAGTCCAGAAAGACCTGCAGGTAGAAAATCATGATAGCTGCACGTCATTTGCAATCTCTGAAGGATCACGGTTGTGCATTGCCTCTTGTCCTACGTCTAAAAATAGTTGCTTCAGGACTTTTCTGTCCAGTTTTCTAGTTGTATATGGCAGGAGAGCAAGTTCCCCCATGATGGCCAGAAGCAGAAGGCCCTTCTATACTTTGTAATGTATGCTTTAAAATATTTTACACACAAATAATATATTCTTGCTGTCAGGTTTGGTGGCAAGTAGACCTGCAGGTAGAAAACCATGGACCAGGATTACAGGTAACACCTGTAATCCCAGCACTTTGGGAGGCCAAGGTGGGAGGATCACTTGAGCCCAGGGGTTTGAGAGCAGGCTGGGAAACACAGAGAGACTCCATCTCTACAAAAAGGAAACAAAATTAGCCAGGTGTGGTGCTGTGTGCCTGTGGTCTCAACTACTCCAGAGGCTGAGACAGAAGGATCACTTGAGCTCTTGAGGTCAAGGCTGCAGTGAACCGAGATTGCACTACTGCACTAGCCTGGAGGACAGAGTGAGACCTTTTCCAAAATAGAAATCAAAAGCATATATGGTATTCATTTATTTAAAATGTGGGGTCTCGTTCTGCTGCCCAGAGTACATTGCTGCAGTCCTGGCTCGCTGCAGCCTTGACCTACTGGACTCAAGTGATCCCTGTGCCTCAGCCTCCTGAGTAGCTGGGAGTATAGGTGTGCACCACTACACCTGGCCAGTATGATAAATTTTTTTTTAGAAACAGGGTCTTACTATGTTGCTCAGTCTGTCTCAAACTTCTGGCCTCAAGTCTTACAAGTTACTGCACTAGTGGGCCAGGCGCGGTGGCTCACGCCTGTAATCCTAGCACTTTGGGAGGCCGAGGTGGATGGATCACCTGAGGTCAGGAGTTCAAGACCAGCCTGACCAACATGGTGAAACCCATCTTTAAAACAACAACAACAACAACAACAACAACAACAACAGCAACAAGTTACTGCACTAGTGATCTGATTTTTCTTTATTGGAGACACTGTCTTGCTCAGTCCTCCAGGTTGTAGTACAGTGGTGCAAACACAACTCACCGCAGCCTCCCCATGTACCTGGGACCACAGGTGTGAGCCACAATGCTTGGTTAATTTTCAAATTTTTTGTAGAGATGGGGGCTCTCACCATGTGGCCCAGGCTGGCCTTGAACTCCCAGTCTCAAGCAATCCTCCCACATCAGTCTCCCAATGTGCTGGGATTACAGGCATGAGCCATTGAGCTAGGCTGCAAGCATTCTTATTTATGGCGTCATTGTGAACTTGTCTGGGAATGCCCATTCTTTCAAACCTCTCAGCCAACCATCTTCAGCTTTCTCCCAGGGATTTTCATTTTAAGCCTTTTCCTAATTTTATTTTTTCTCCCTCTTTCTTTTTCTTTCCCTCCCTCCCTTCCTCTCTTTGTCTCCTTTCTTTTTTTTTTTTTTTTTTTGAGACAGAGTTTTGCTCTTGTTACCCAGGCTGGAGTGCAATGGCACGATCTTGGCTCACTGCAACCTCTGCCTCCTGGATTCAGGCAATTCTCCTGCCTCAGCCTCCTGAGTAGCTGGGATTAAAGGCACGCGCTACCATGCCCAGCTAATTTTTTGATTTTTAGTAGAGATGGGGTTTCACCATGTTGACCAGGATGGTCTCGATCTCTTGACCTCGTGATCCACCCGCCTCGGCCTCCCAAAGTGCTGGGATTACAGGCTTGAGCCACCGCGCCCGGCCTCTTTGTCTCTTTCTGTAGTGCAGTGGCACCATCTTGGCTCAGTGCAACCATTGCCTCCCTGGTTCAAGTGATTCCCCTGCCTCTATCTCCCAAGTAGCTGGGACTACATGCTCACGCCATCACATCTGGCTAAGTTTTTAGATTTTAGTAGAGATGGGGTTTCACCATTTTGGCCAGAATGGTCTCCATCTCCTGACTTCGTGATCTGCCTGCCTCAGCCTCCCAAAGTGCTGGGATTACAGGTGTGAGCCACAGTGCCCGGCTGCCTGTTCCTAATTTTCAAGGAGATTTTTTTTTTTTAATATAAGGAATTTTCCAAATATTCCTGCCAACTAATTTCAAATCAGGCAGGCTTGCACAATTGGCTTATTGCTTTTTTTTTTTTTTGAGACGGAGTTTTGCTCTTGTTACCCAGGCTGCAGTGCAATGGCGTGATCTCAGCTCACCGCAACCTCCGCCTCCTGGGTTCAAGCAATTCTCCTGCCTCAGCCTCCTGAGTAGCTGGGATTACAGGCACGCACCACCATGCCCAGCTAAGTTTTTGTATTTTTAGTAGAGACGGGGTTTCACCATGCTGACCAGAATGGTCTCGATCTCTTGACCTCGTGATCCACCGCGCCTGGCCTGCTTGTTGCTTTCAATGAATAATACCTCATAAGACTTTGCCAAGACAACTACAGGTATATCCTGTTCTTCTTTCCATTTGCTATTACAACTGAAACTTTTTTTCCCCTGGGTTATTAAATATTCATTGTAGGATGGCTGGGCTGAGATTCTTTTATTCTCCTCACTGGACAAGTCAGTTGCTGCCACATGACTATGGTTTGATCACCTCTGTTAAGATGACATGAGCATTAAAGTTTTTCTACCACTCCAGACACTACCTTTTTTTTTTTTTTTTTTTTTTTTTTTAAAGAGATGAGGGTCTCAGTCTGTTGCCCAGGCTGGAGTTCAGTGGTGCAATCATAGCTCACTGCAGCTTTGACATCTAGGGCTGAAGAGATCCTCCCACCTCAGCCTCCCAAGTAGCTGGGACTGCAGGTATGGTCCACCATGCCTGGCCGATTTTTAAATTTTTTTTAGAAATGGGATTTCACCCTGTTGCCCAGGCTGGTCTTGAACACCTGGGTTCAAATGATCCGCTGACCTCGGCCTCCCAGAGATTACAGGCGTCCACTGCGCCTGGCCCCATCACCATTTTAAGAGAGATTATCTAAAATGAAATTACTGGGTGACAGGCTATAGGCTTTTTTAGGCTGCTCATATGCACTGCCACATTACTTTACAAAAACTTGTGCCAGCTTATGCTGCCTGCATGTATAAGGAGCCTCATTCTCAACTAATGTTAATCTCCAGTTTGCAAAGCAGGACTCATCTCTCCGTAGAAATTGAAAAATGGTAGATACTAACTTTCCCAGCATCCCTTGCTGGCAGGACTCAGTCACATGGCCCGGGCTCCACCAATCAGGTGCATCCACCTCCAACCCTCAGCTGGAAGCCTGCAGCGTCTTCACACCATTAGCAGGGGCAGCATAGAATCGGTTCTGGCAGTGAGGCCAGCAGTGGGTCTAGTGGACATCTGGTAGCTGGCATCTGTAGCATCCATGCTGTTGCTGAGGTGGCTGGAGCAGCAGGAGCAGGAGCAGGAGCAGCAGCAGCAGCAGCAGCAAGGCTCTGGCCCCATCCAGCTGTGCAGCAGGATCTCAGGTTTTGTAGCTGGCCAGGCAGCCTTGATCTGATCCCCACCCTGCTGGGGAATCTGTGAGCCTCCCCACCCTTGTCTTCCCACCTGTGGCAGGCAGACCTGCTGCCTGCCCAATATCCATTCCCCTTCTTTCCTGCTTATGGAACTCTACTTTTTTGGGGGTCTGCCAAGTCCCTGGGAACAGAGCATGCTTGGCCAATGCTGCCATGACAACCTGGCTCTGTGCCATCTCAGAATCCCTCATAGTACGGCTGCCATTGGGGCCTGCTGAGGCCATTGAGGCTTTGGGGGAATCCGCTGGAGGAGCTTCTAGAGGAGGTTTGTCTTTCCCTATAAAAGGGCACAGATGTGACTGGCCCTGTCTCTTCGTCCTTTCTTTGTGCCTTGACTGTAGAGGTGTGTGTGGTATTTGGAGTTCCAGCAGCCGCCCTGTAAACAACATAGACAAATGCCCACCTGCTAAGGATGTTGGAGCAGAAAGACTGAAAGAGTCTGGGTTGCTGATGGGATAACTCCCACCTCCAGATTTCTAGTTACGTGAGAAAGAAAAAAGCCTCCATACATGGAATTTCCTGTCAGTTGGGTATTCTGTTGCTTGCATCTGAATTTATTCCTCACTAGCACCATGTTCTTGCCTGGATAGCCTGTGGGCCTGCCTCTGCAGATTAACGCATGTATGTGCACAAGGCTCTATGGCAAACAGAGGGTCTCACTTTTCTTTATCACAACATTCAGGCTGTGTTGTCCAAGATTCTTCGTTGCATGCCACAAATGCCCAACCCTCAGTAATGAAGTGAACAAAGGCAGTCTGGGGGATGAGACCAGGTCCCACTGAAGCCACAGCGCAATAGAGCCTTTCTCAGAAGGTGGGAGGGAGCCCAGGGAAGCGTTGCCCCACCCATGTGCACTTACCGTGGTTCAGTTGGGCAGGGGGCGTGGCACAGCTTGCATCCTCTGTGAGGACCCAAACTCCCAGTGCAGCTGCTGATCTGTCTCTGAGTCTTCTCTGTCACTGCCTGGAGATTCAAAATCCCCAGAGAAACGTCGGATCTGGGAAGCACAGTATGGGCTGCTGAGTGGAAGGCTGTATCCGGCCATTTTGGCTTCAAAAGTGGGCCTTGTGGCCGGGCACAGTGGCTCAGGCCTGTAATTCCAGCACTTTGGGAGGCTGAGGTGGGCGGATCACTTGAGGTCAGGCGTTTAAGTCCAGCCTGACCAACATGGTGAAATCCCATTTCTACTAAAAATACAAAAAGTAGCTGGGCCTGGTGGTGGCAGGTGCCTGTAATCCCAGCTACATGGGAGGCTGAGGCAGGAGAATTTCTTAAACCCGGGAGGCAGAGATTGCAGTCAGCTGAGATTGTGCTTGCTGCACTCCAGCCTGGGTGACAGAGTGAATGAGGCATATCTAGGCCACCATGCTGGGAAAGAGCAGAAGCTGGGCTCCGGGGTGAGCTGGGCCAGAGAGCTGTGTTTTGATTGGCTGAGGCCTGGATTGCCTGAACTAATCACGATGGAGGTGGTGGGTGCAGGGGCAGCTCCAGGCCCATGATGCAGGTCTGATGTCCTGGGTCCAGGCGCTTATCGAGGGAGGCCTCTATAAGCAGGTGGTTTTATTCCAGGAAAGCAGCAAGTGCCGTGGTTAAGAGCATCCTACCTGGATTGTGTCCTGGCTCTGCCACTTAATAGCTGTGCAATCTGCGTCAAGTTAAACAACCTCCTTGTGCCTCAGTTTCTTTCTTTTTTTTTTTGAGATGGAGTTTCGCTCTTGTTACCCAGGCTGGAGTGCAATGGCACGATCTCAGCTCACCGCAACCTCCGCCTCCTGGGTTCAGGCAATTCTCCTGCCTCAGCCTCCTGAGTAGTTGGGATTACAGGCACGCACCACCATGCCCAGCTACTTTTTGTATTTTTAGTAGAGACGGGGTTTCACCTTGTTGACCAGGATGGTCTCGATCTCTTGACCTCGTGATCCACCTGCCTCGGCCTCCCAAAGTGCTGGGATTACAGGCGTGAGCCACCACACCCGGCCAAGTGCCTCAGTTTTTTAATCAATGTGATGGGAGGTTCCTACCTCATGGGCAGGTTGTTAACCTGTGATCTGCAGGGCACTATTGCTCATGCCTGTAATCCCAGCACTTTGTGAGGCCAAGGCGGGTGGATCACAAGATTAGGAGACCAACCTGGCCAATATGGTGAAACTGTCTCTACTAAAAATACAGAACTAGCCAGACGTGGTGGCATGCATCTGTAATCCCAGCTACTCAGGAGGCTGAGGCAGGAGAATCACCTGAACCAGGGGGTGGAGGTTGCAGTGAGCTGAGATTGCACTATTGCACACCAACCTGGGACACAGATCAAGACTGTTTCAAAAAAACAAATAACAACAACAAACAACAAAACAAAACCAACAACAATAAAAAATAAGTTGTGTTATCACCACATCCCCAACTTCCTGGTTCATAACAGACGAGAGTTGACCTGCATGCCCTGAGTCAGCAAACACTGGCCAAGTGCCATGGTGTGCCAGGTGTGTGGGTGGGTCTGCAGTCAGCCCCTCTGTTGGACAGCAGCTCCTGGAAGCCTGGGTACTGCCTGCTGCAGAGGATGGCCCCCTTCCATGTTGGAGAAAATGTTTGTGTGGGCAGAAGTGCCCTGGAAGGTGAGTGCGTGGCTTCTGATATATGGAAGGCCAATAATTTTCTGGGCAGAAGAAACACCATGTACCATGAATGAGGGGAGGACCAGACAGTTCAGGCCGGCAGCCCCCAGGGGATGGGGCCATGGAGAGGAGGGTGTTCAGGCTCCATCTGTCCCAGGGCTCTGGCCACAAATGCAGGGCTTCCCCTACTGTCCTCTGTCAGAAAAGGAAAGCCATTGCACCTCTGATGTCTCCTCTCTCCCTCCCCTTCCTTGTGTTTTACTTTTTTTTTTTTTTTGAGACGGAGTTTCGCTCTCGTTACCCAGGCTGGAGTGCAATGGCGCGATCTCGGCTTACCGCAACCTCTGCCTCCCGGGTTCAGGCAATTCCCCTGCCTCAGCCTCCTGAGTAGCTGGGATTACAGGCATGCACCACCGTGCCCAGCTAATTTTTTGTATTTTTACTAGAGACAGACATGTTGACCAGGATGGTCTCAATCTCTTGACCTTGTGAACCACCGCGCCCGGCCTACTTTTTTTTTTTTTTGAGACAGGGTCTTGCTCTGTTGCCCAGGCTGGAGTGCAGTGGTGTGATCATAGCTCACTGCAGCCTGCAACTCCCCAGCCCAAGTGATCCTCCATCAGCCTCTGGAATAGTTGGGACTATAGGCGTGCACCATCCGTGGTAACCAGGTGCCCAACCCTCAGTAACAAAGTGAAAAAAGGGCAGTCTGGGGGATGATATCAGGTCCCACTGAAGCCACAGGGTGACAGAGCCCTTCTCAGAAGGTGGGAAGGAACCCATGGAAGCATCACCTGGCCCAGGCCTACTCAGAGTGGTTCAATGAGGTGCAGGGGTGGCCCAGTGTGAGGACCCCAGCTCTCAGGGCAGCTGCTGCTGATCCTGAGTCTCGGAGTCTTCTCTGTCACTGCCTAGAGATTCAAAGGCCCCACGGAAACATCAGAGCCACGCCTGGCTAATGTTTTTTTTTTTTTTGAGACAGAGTCTCACTCTGTTGCCAGGCGCCAGGCTGGAGTGCAGTGACACAATCTCGGCTCACTGCAACCTCCGCCTCCCAGGTTCAAACAATTCCGCCTCAGCCTCCCAAGTAGCTGGGACTAAAGGTGTGCACCACCATGCCCAGCTAATTTTTGTATTTTTAGTACACCAGGTTGGCCAGGATGGTCTCTATCTCTCAACCTCGTGATCCGCCCGCCTCAGCCTCCCAAAGTGCTGGGATTACAGGCTTGAGCCACCGCGCCCGGCTAATGTTTTCTTTTTTAAATCTCCTGTAGAGACAGGGTTCACTATGTTGCCCAGGCTGGTCTCAAACTCTGCGCCCCAGCAGTTCTGTCCTTGGCTCCAAAGTGCCGGGATTACAGGCTGAGCCACCCTTTCGTGTTTATAACTAGCTCTTCTTAGGTGCCTAGCTACCCCTGCTCTGCTGCTGCTTTAGCAGCGCATTGCTGTGTAACAAATTACTCCAAAACATAGGGGCTTATAGCATCTATCATCCACAGTAGCCAGGCGCAGGAAGCAACTCACCTGGGTGCTCTTCCACGAGGCTGCGTGCTGAGCTGGAAAAGCCACTTCCAAGCTTGTTCCCATGGCTGCTGGCAGGGAGTGAGTTCCCTCCCTATGTAGAGGAAGGGAAACAAGAGATGAGAAAGAAGAGAGAGAGATAAAGTGTGAGAGAGAACCAGGATTAAAGCTGCTGTGTCTCTCTAACCTGGCCTGCTGGCACCTCTGCCCTGCTCTACTGATTACATAGACCCTCCCTTGGTGGGGTGTGGCTGACAGGAGGCAGGGTTGTGGACCTGTGGATCCATCTGGGAGGCTGCATACCCTAGATGGCTGCTGCTCTGCTGTGTGCGTGTGTTTGTGGTGTTTTTGTGTGTTTGGGGTGTGCGTGTATTTGTGTGTGTTTGTGATTTTGTGTGCATTTGTGTGTATGTGACTGTGTTTGGGTGTGTGTTTTTGTGTGTATGTGCTTGTGTGTCATTGTGTTTGGATGTGTGTGTTTGGGTGTGTTTTTCTCTGTGTGTGACTGTATGTGTGTTTGGATGTGTGTGTGTCATTGTGTGTTTGGCTGTGTGTGGGTGTTTTTCTGTGTGTTTGTGACTGTGTGTGTGACTTTTTGTGTGTGTGTATGTGTTTGGATGTGTGTGTGACTGTGTGTCTATATGTATGTGTTTGGGTGTGTGGATGTGTTTGTGTGTGACTGTGTGTGTGTGAGACTGTGTGTGTCTGGATGTGTGACTGTGTGTGTATGTGGGTGTGTATGTGTTTGTGTGTGACTGTTTGGATGTGTGTGACTATGTATGAATATATGTATGTGTTTGTGTGTGACTGTGGATGTGTGTGCATGTTTGGATGAGTGTGGGTGTGATTGTGTATGTGTGACTGTGTTTATGTGGGACTGTGTGTGTGTTTGGATGTGTGTATGTGTGTGTGACTATGTGTGTGTATATGTATGTGTTTGTGTGTGACTGTGTGTGTGTGTTTGGATGTGTGTGTGTGGGTGTGCACACAGAGGCTCTTGCCTGCGTGTGTCTGTTTTAGTAGTCACTGTTGTTACTAAGATGTCTCAAGTCCACCTGGAGCAGATTAAGGGTCACACCTAGAAAGTGGAATGTGGCTCCTCTGAATCCCTTCTTGGGAGGTCCCAAGCTCAGATGGCCTCTGCCTGCCCAGAGCAGAGGAAGGGTTCTCGTGGATGCTGCCTTTGGATTTCTTTCTGAACACTCATATTTGCTGTGAGTAAACTCCCTTTTTTGTGAGGCTCCCAGATCCTGCCCATCTTACCATATGGTCCTGATACAGGCCCCGAACGGATGGGCATCCAGGGCTTCAGGTGAATGAGTCACCTGTCAAGGATAACACCAGTGACATCCCTGCACCAGCCGGTGGCCCCAAGCCAAACGGAGGCGTGTCTGGGAGCCAAGGACAGGAGCCTTCAGTGTGGGGGACTCATTACATCAGTCACTTGAGGGTTAGGAGATAATTTGTCTCTCTCTGCCCCACGTGGCCTCTGTGGAAATAAAACAGTATTGCTCATTTTTAAAGATAAATTAGTGCATCAATATAAAAACGTCAATCAGCGATGCAGAGAGGGTAGGCAGTTGGGGCTGGATTGATCAGCTCCGTAAGGAGTGTTTCTGGGGCCATTCTGGCTTCCTTCTGCTGACAGCCAGGTGCCCAGGTCATGAGCCGAGCCACCCACCCCAAGTGGGGGGGCCCCTGATCAGCCGAAGGGCCACGCTCCCTCCAGCTGGTAATGCAGAAACATCCAGGACTAACTGCACTGGGACAGAGAGACAGGGAGGGAGCTAGGAGCAGGAAGGAAAAGTCCCGGCCCTGGAACAGGTGGTGAGCCTGCCCTGGGGCTGAGCGCTCCTGTGTCCTCACTCAGAGGGGCTTCTCCAGGCCTAGCCACAGTGAGGCTAATGAGGCCCCCAGGGGGCTGTGGCTCCTGGTTCCTTAGCATGAAGCTACAGGCACCCCAAAGGCCCAGATGGCCCCCAGTGCTGTGCCCACTCTCCCCACGGGCACCTTTCCAACATCCCACCAATACCCTGGACCACCCATCCATGTTTGCCAGTTTGGAAAGTGAGAAATGATACTTCCTGGCTGTCTGAATTTGAATTTCTTTGGTTTTTGGCGGATGTTTGAAGCCATCGTGAATGTCTGTTCAGTCTTTGCCTGTTTTCTATGAAAGGGCCCCGTTTCCCTTGCCGATGGCAGGCTATGAGTGGTGATGTTCAGCGATGCCTGTGTGTGTCTGTGGCTGTGGTGCGTGTGGGTGAGGAGGGCTGACGCTGGCCTAAAAGGCCATCTTGAGTCTGGAATCTTACCAGGGATCTGCAGCCATGGCTGTGTGTCAGAAAAGGCTTAGAGAGGTCTCCTGGGAGTCAGGCGGGATGCAGCAGGAAACAGAGGCAGAAAGAGCTCAGGTCCCAGGCAGGGCAGCAGCTGTACAGCGGGGAAGGGGCCACCAGCTACCGGAACCCAAGCAGGAACCGGGCTTGAGGGGGACAAGGAGTGAGGGAGGGGGCTGAACATAGACAGAGGTGTGGGGGCCCTCTGAGAAGACATTTGAGCAAAGATTTGCAGGAGGAGATGGGGGCGCCTAGAGCAAGAACAGTCCTCAGAGGGCTGGGCGCGCAGAGGCCCCGGGCAAGAAGGGCCTTCCAGGAGCTGCAGGGAGGCCAGGGGACCAGGAGGCCAGTGCCGTGGGGGCTGGGGCAGGGAGTCAGGCTAGCTGGGGGCCTGTAGGTCCGGGAATGCTCCGAGGACTGAGTGGGTAGGCTGTCAGTTTTCCAGCTGAGTAGCACAGACAGGTGGGAGGAAGCCCAGTTTGCAGAGAGCACGGAGCTCCAAGCCTTGTGACCCACAGAGGTTTACATGCCAGTGGGAGGCAGGGCCCAGCAGAGCCTTGGGTCCGCAGGCTGGAGTTGGCTCCTCTGCAGAGCTCCTGGTCAGCCGGCCTCTGCCCTTCCCTCCAGGACGTCCGGGTCCTACTCCACAGCCAGGTGGCCCTTGTTGGAGCAAAGGTCCAGGCCGTGGGAGTCTAACACATATCGACCCCCACAGCAACAAGGGTTGATGGAGGAAAGGACGACTAGGATGGTGGGAGGTGGCAGTGGCATGGGTGCTGGGCGGTGCGGGGTGCTGGAGACCTAAGTGCGCCCCCGTTATGCGTGGGGGGTGAAGTGCTGGCAGCCCCGACCCGTGTCCCTCTGCAAAACGCTCCTGGCATCCAGCTGGGCTCCCGGCACGCTCAGCCTCCATTTTCTCCTCCCTCTGGGAAAGCAGAGTCCTGGGCCAGGTCCGGATACCGCAGCCCATTCCCTTCCCTTGAGGCTGTGAGCAGCCTGGAGGGCCCGGGCGTCGCGGCCGGGTCAGCTGAGGCCGCGGCCACCTGCGGCTTTGTGCAGAGCCCCGCTCCTCCCGCCTGGGGGCGGGGGCCGGGGCCGAGGCCGGGAGACCCGCAGGGCCACCTAGCAGCGCCCTCCGCCCCCTTAGCGACCCCTCTCAGACCAAGGCAGGGCCGGAGGGGGCTGTGCCCGAGGGCGGCGGTGCCGGAAACTGGGTCCAACAGGAGGGGTCACAACCCGGCCCGGTACAGTCCGGCGACCCCGGGGCCCTTAAAGGGGGGGAGGGGCTGCCTCCTCAGGCGCGGCGGGGCCTGGGCTCCAAGCCTCGCCGCGGACCTCGGGAAACCCCCCCAGCCCCTCCATTCGGCAGCTGGAGGCGGCCGGTCTCGGGCTGGGGACAGCGCGATAGACCCGCCCAAGGCTAGGCCGAGGGCGGGGAGGCAGGACAGCGCCCAACTTCGGAAGCCTGGGCCGGGACCCGCCGGAAGGACGCCCGGGGAGGGCGGGGGCCGCGGGGCCGACTGCGCACGCGCCTGACTCATGATCCACACAGCGCGCCGGGGCCGTCCTATGATTGGTCCGAGCGGCCGCGTTCTCGGCCAATGGGCGCGGGGCTCCTGGCTCGGCGCGGGCCTCCGGGGCGAGGAGCTGGGAGGGTACGTCTCCGGCCGGGTCTCGCGGTCTGGGGAGGCCTGCGCAGGCCCGCGGGGTCTTTCCCACAAGCGGCCCGCCGCCGCCCCGGGGACGAGGCCAGCGAGTCCGTGATCCTGGCCGCCCCCAGTCGTGAGCCCATGGGCAGAAGCGGTGACTGAGACACGCGGAGCCCCGCCCATTCCTGCCCCTCGCACCCCTCGCAGGGCCTCCCCGCCGATCCCCGGCCAGCCCCGCTCTCCCTGCTCCAATCCTGCTGGTCAGAAAAACAGTCCTTGGCTAGGAGCGGGCCGCGCCTGTGGTCCCAGCCACTCGGGAGGCCGAGGCGGGAGGATAGCTTGAGCCCCGGATGTGGAGGCTGCAGTGAGCCGTGATTGCACCGCTGCCCTCCAGCCTGGACCGCAGAGCGAAACCCTGTCTCTAAGCCAAAAGAATCAACCGTGCTCAGAAAGCACACAAGCGGCCGGGCGCGGTGGCTCACGCCTGTAATCCCAGCACTTTGGGAGGCCGAGGCAGGTGGATAACGAGGTCAAGAGATCGAGACCATCCTGGTCGAAATGGTGAAACCCCGTCTCTACTAAAGATACAAAAAATTAGTCGGGCATGGTGGCGCGTGCCTGTAATCCCAGCTACTCGGGAGGCTGAGGCAGGAGAATTGCCGCCAGGAGGCGGAGGTTGCGGTGAGCTGAGATCGCGCCATTCCACTCCAGCCTAGGTAACGAGCGATACTACGTCTCAAAAAAAAAAAAAAAAAAAAAAAGAAAGAGAGAGAGAGAGAGAGAGAGAACGAGCAAGCAAGCACATAAGCTTGTTGTCAAAAACCATCAATCAACAAAAATCAGCAGTGGTCATCTCTAGGTGGCGGGGTTGGAGCTAAACAAACAATATTTCGGCCGGGCACGGTGGCTCATGCCTTTGGGAAGGGTAATCCCAGCACTTTGGGAGGCTGAGGCTGGCGGATCATTTGAGGTCAGGAGTTCCAGACTTTATCTGTATTTCTATTTCTGTTGTAAAAATACAAAAGAAATACACGCCTGCAATCTCAGCTACTCTGGAGGCTGAGGCAGGAGAATCACTTGAGCCCGGATGCAAAGGTTGCAGTGAGCCGGGATCATGCCACTGCACTCCAGCCTGGGCAACAGAGGAAGACTCCGTCTCAAAAAAAAAAAAAAGAAAAAGGCCGGGTGTGGTGGCTCAGCCTGTAATCCCAGGGCTTTGGGAGGCTGAGGCAGGCGGATTATGAGGGCAGGAGATGGAGACCAGCCTGGCTAATATGGTGAAACCCTGTCTCTACTTAAAAAAAAAAAAAGATACAAAAATTAGCCGGGTGTAGGGGCACATGCCTGTAGTCTTAGCTACTTGGGAGGCTGAGGCAGGAGATTCACTTAAACCTAGGAATCGGAAGTTGCAGTGAGCTGAGATCAAGCCACCGCACTCCAGCCTGGGCAACAGAGGGAGACTCCATCTCCAAAAAGAAAAAAAAAACTACTTCTCTGTAATTTGTTAGTTTTTCAGTTAGTGTTAAGTATACTGTTTGTAGGAAAAAAATGCTTTTTAAAAATGAAGCCTGTGTAAGAAGAACAATAATAAAAACAGTAAGGGTTGGTGAGGATGTGGAGAAATTGGAGCTCTTATTACAATGCATGCGCTGTGAAAGCAGTTTAGCGGTTCTCAGAGCGGAGGGTAGAATTACCTGGCAGTGCAGCAATTCTATGCAGCCACACACCCAGCGAGCAGGGTGCAGGGACACGGACAGTATACTCTACACGGGCTATTCCAAATGTCTGTGTGTGGTTCGTTTTTTTTTGAGACGGAGTCTCACTCTGTCACCAGGCTAGAGTGCCACGGCACGATCTCGGCTCACTGCAACCTCCGCCCTCGGGTTCAAGCTATTCTCCTGCCTCAGCCCCCTGAGTAGCTGGGACTACAGAGGCACGCCACCACACCCAGCTAACTTTTGTAGTTTTAGTAGAGACGGGGTTTCACTATATTGGCCAGAATTGTCTTGATCTCTTGACCTCGTGATCCGCCCACGTTGGCCTCCCAAAGTGCTGGGATTACAAGATGTGCACCATGGCGCCCAGCTGGGCTATTCCAAACATTGACCACAACCATACTCACCGCAGAGAAATGGTGGAAGCCCCACGTTTCCATCCACAAATGAGAAACAAATGTGGTCCCTCCATACAGTGGACTATGATTTAACTTTAAGAAGGAAGGAAATTCTGACACACCACGCACGGATGGCTTTGAAAACATTATGCTAAGTGACTGTGCCAGCCACAAAGGACAACCTCTATCTGATTCCACTTATAAAACATCTAGAATATGGAAATCCAGAAATAGAAAGTAGATTAGAGGCTGCCAGGGCCTGGGGAGAAAAGCAGAGGGAAGTTGGTGCTCAGTGGATACAGTCTCTGGGATGGCAAGGCAAAAAAGTTCTGTAAATGGAGAGTGTGAGTCACACAGCATGGTGAATGTACTCAATACCTTTCAAGTGTACACTTAAAAATGGTCAAAATGGCAAAATGTATCACAGTTTAAGAAATAGGCCGGGCGTGGTGGCTCACACCTGTAATCCCAGTACTTTGGGAGGCTGTGGCGGGTGGATCACGAGTTCAAGAAATCGAGACCACCCTGGTCAACATGGTGAAACCCCGTCTCTACTAAAAATACAAAAATTAGCTGGGCATGGTGGCGCATGCCTGTAATCCCAGCTACTCAGGAGGCTGAGGCAGGAGAATTGCTTAAACCCAGGAGGGGAGGTTGCGGTGAGCCGAGATAGCACCATTGCACTCCAGCCTGGGTAACAAGAGCGAAACTCCGTCTCAAAAAAAAAAAAAAAGAAAAGAAATGATGGGCCGGGCTTGGTGGCTCACGCCTGTAGTCCCAGCACTTTGGGAGGCTGAGGCAGGCAGGTCACCTGAAGTCAGGAGTTTGCGACCAACCCGGACAACATAGTGAAACCCTGTCTCTACTAAAAATATAATTAGCTGGGTGTGGTGGTGCATGCCTGTAGTCCCAGCTATTGGGAGGCTGAGGCAGGAGAATCGCTTGAACCTGAGAGGTGGAGGCTGCAGTGAGCCAAGATCATGCCACTGCACTCCAGCCTGGGCAATAGAGCGAAACTCTCTCAACAAAAGAAAAAAATATGTAATGTAACATACCCAAACCATTGAATTGTACACTTCAAATGGGTAAATTTTATGGTATGTGAATTATATCTCAATACTGCTATTAACTTTACAGGCCAGGCACAAGGGCTCATGCTTGTAATTATAGGAGGCCAAGGTGGGAGGATTGCTTGAGCCCAGGAGTTCAAGACTAATCTGGGCAACATAGGAGACCTTGTATCTACAAAAAATTAAAAATAATTAACCATGCATGGTGGCATGTGTCTGTAGTCCCAGCCACTTGGGAGGCTGAGGTGGGAGGATCGCTGGAGCCAGGGAGGCTGAGTTTGCCGTGAGCCGTGGTGGTGCCGCTGTGCTCCAGCCTGGGCCACAGAGCAAGAGCTCCTGCCTCAAAACAAAATGTTTTTTAAAGATTTACATCTGTAATTTCAGAAGCAGTGTGTGCCATTGATATCTGCTCCAAGAACGCTCTTGGTTTGGGTGTGGCAGGATTTCAGTTCCCAGGGAGGCAGATATTCTCTGAGCTAAAAGCCTGTTTCTCCCCAAGAGAGAGGGCAGCACTCCTTTACCAGGTGTGTGCCTAACAGTTCTAGATCCCACTGGGAGAGCAGCGAGGGAAGGATCGCTCATTTAAAATGTACACACAGAGGCGGCTCCAGTACAGAGAGGGGCTGTAGACCTTGAAATGCTCCTCCCAGCACACACAACTCCAGATGACAGGATAACATGAGACACAGCTCCTGCGTCAATACTCCCCCAGCTCCTGCCTGGGTGCTCCCCAGTTCCTGGCCTGACGCTCCCCAGTTCCTGCCTGGACATTCCTCCAGCTCCTGGCCTACGTGCTCCCTCAGCTCCTGCCCAGATGCTCCCCCAGCTCCTGGCCTGATGCTCCCTAACTCCTGCCTGGATGCTCCCCCAGCTCTTGGCTTAGGTGCTCCCCAGTTCTTGCCTGGGTGTACCCCCAGCTCCTGGCCTAGGTGCTCCCCCGGCTCCTGGCCTAGGTGCTCCCCCAGCCCCCCAACTCAGAATGCTCCTTCCCTCTGGCCAGGCCCCCTTTCCGGCCCCGCCCCTTCGGGGCTCCGGCGGGAACCCACCTGGCTTTTTCTTTCCAACCAGACCAGCTCCCTCTGTTTTCCAAGTTGCCTGCTAATCCAGTTGGAAACACGGGCCTTGAGGGGTGAGCGAGGGCGCTCCTCACGAAGCAGCCACATAAGGTGCGAAGAAGTCCCAAGGCCCACCCAGAAGGAGCGGCCACCTTTCCCTCACGGGCCACGCGCGCTGCCCACGCGGCCACGCTTGGGGCCTGGCAGGCGGCTGCCATCCCGGCCACGGCCGCTGGAGGGCGCCCCTGCACCGCTCCTGCCGGCCGGCTCCCGTGGGAGGGCGCCTGTGACGGGCGCCGGAGGTTGATCTCCTGGTTCACGCCAGGATTGAGAACCCGCGGCTGGAGCTGGAGGCCTCAGGGCCGAGTTCAGATCGCGGTCTCGACCCACCTGGCGGCGACTTCCGGTCCCGTGGCTGTGCTGCAGCTCGCCAGGTCGGAGTGAAAATGCAGAAACGGCCCCTTGGACTAAGTCACGACCGTTCGTTTCTCGCAGTGCCACGTGGTTGCCTGCGGTCAACCTAGCAATACACGCGGCGCCCGCCCCACTGCCCCGGGCCTGAACGCACCGGCCACGATCGGCAGCCCCCTCAGATCCTGAGACCTGCACACCGCAGTGCAGGCGTAGGGGTCCTCAGCCCGCGCCATCCAAGCAAGAACCACGAGCGCGGGCGCCACGCCTTCCCCCACCCTTTTCCCTGAGCCCCTAGCTGGCGGTCCCTCCTGCAGCAGCTGGGCCTGGAATTCCGGCTGCGGAAGGGGCAGCACCCACGCGCAGCTCACGCCATGCATGTGGTCGCTGCGAGGGTCTCCGCCTTTCCAGCCTGGTCCCCGGCTGTTTCCTGAAGCTGCCTAAGAAGCAGGTGCCTCGGCCAAACTAGCTCCTGCCCCCGAGCCGGCCAGTGCCCTCAGCCTACGGGCCCCGGGGCAGAGTGC